ATATAAAGTAATATTTTAAAATCATAGATTAAAGAAATATGCATACTTTTTCATTTGCTTTTGCCATAGACATAACCAGCAGGTGTTTAAAAGTGCTTATTATCAATAGCCAAGTAAACAAGAGAAACTTAGACTTTATCTTCTTACCCCAATATCCCATGCAATATACATGATACATGTATATATACATGATACAATAATAATGGGCACTTTAAAAATGTATGAAACAAATAATTTAATTTCTTCCACTTAGCCACAGTGATCCACTTAGACTTGAAGATAGACAGTCATAAAAAACTCACATATAAAACATCAAAAACAGGAACAATTTTTAAAGCACACAGGAAAAACATTAAAGATGCCATTTTCATACGTATTTCACAAAAGCCTGTTTTTTGAAATACTCACATGTCAGAATTGCATCTTCATATCTTAGCCACCAATTGTAACAAGGGGCAAAATAAGCATCAAAGATTACAGCAGAAGCATTATGACGTCACCGTAAGCCAAATATATTGTTCTACCCTTACCTTTAAGATATAAGACATCCTCTAAAGTGAATATGTAAAGAAAGAGAAGATGAGCGTGAGAGGTTGATGATTATAATGACCCCATCCATTTAGCAATCATTCTAAAACAATATTTGAAATGTTAGTATTATCATAAATTACACAGAAAGAATATCGTCATGTTCCCTACATTAGTTTCAGGTGCAATATCACCATGCAAAAGCCCAAGGAATACAGTTTTGTGCAGAACAACAAATGCTGAAATAACTGAAATATACACCACATAGTAAGAACATATTAATCACTCTCTTCCCATAGCAGAGACGAAGTGAGCATGCCTTAGTTTTAATAGATTAGTTATGGGAAGGGTTAAGTCAACTTTACCCTTTATGCTCACCTTAATTTGAATTTAGATACAAAATAGCCATCTTTAAAAAAGGAAACTAGAGAACTGTGAGATGTCACTCTCAGCTTGGGAACTAGAAGAAAATTGGCTGATTGCAGGAATTACAGGTCAATTTCCAGAGCAATTTTATTAGATTGCTTTCTAGCTAAATTCTGAATAAAGATTCTGCTCCAATGGTATAGCTCCTATCAAGTAGATTTCAAAGGATCAACAAATCCTCCAGTGTCCATATGTGAGTCTTTCCTAATTTTTACCTCACCAAGAGCTGCAGGCAATGATTAATGGAAACAGCAGCATGGTGCTTTAAATCAAAACAAACTCTAAATTGAGCTAAGCCTCTGTCACTCATCAAAACATGTGTCTGATATAAAAATATATGCTGCCTTGGCATCATAATTCTAAATTGCATCTCATAACTGTCATCGATGTAATCTTCACTTTAAATAAAACCTTATTTAAAGAACAGTTAATAGTTAAAAAAAAAAAAAAAAGCCTTTCTAAGATCTGAAACAAATAGACACAATCAAAAACAAAACAAAACAAAAAAGAAATCACTGCTGTGGAGTTGATTCCAACTCATAGTGACTCTATATAGTTTCTGAGACTGTAAGTCTTTACGAAGCAGCAGGCAGTCTCATCTTTCTCCCACGAACTGCTGTCCTAGCAGTTAGCAGCCCAATGCCTAACTCATAGTGCAAAACAAAAATTAAAATGCTGATTGCAACTTAAAGAGGAATAAGCAAAAACAAACAAACAAAACCCCTTAAATCCTTACACTATCCAAATATCAAATGTTCTTCTCTTTAATTGTCTCTGAATCGCCTTTTTAAAAAAGACATCCCTTTCATTAAATGATTTGCCCTCTCCAACTATAACAAATATCACTTTCAGAGTTCTAACTCATGACTTGGTCCCATAATGCTTGCCTGATTTGGTTTAATAGATCACAATGATCCAAAATACAAACTTTGATCAGCTTGCTTGGAAATTCAACTCAAATGAAGTAGCTCTGGTTGTAGATGTATGTACATCATTACTAACTTATATAATTTTCCAAATCATGATATAGAAAAACCAGAGGCACTTCTGGAGGACACCAGCAAGCTCAGGTGGTACACACACACCCTGTTGCTGTTCAAGAAATATTTGTGGATGAACAATGGGGGAAATGAAAAAATAAGGAATGAAAACCAGAGTCTAGCAAACGAAACTGACTGGCATGTTTTACCTAGCATACATTCTAGCACGTTCCCACAAAACTACTTGTAATAAGCTATGAAATCAGCTTGTCAGAAGCATTTTATATCACATATAGCAAAGTTACCTCTTTATAACCTAGTGCTGCTGATGGTCTAAGTGGAGGTGCAGGTCGTAGACAACTTAAACTCCACGGTTTTATAATTTGAGGAGGCTCCAAGGGTCCTCGGGGCTGTCCAGTAGAGCTAAAAGACTGGGAAAATGTCTGATGAGATATTGACAATCTGCCGTCTGAACCCAACCTGGTGCTACATAGTGAGAGAATTTACAATAGTTTCATTGGATCTGCAATGATCAATAAAGCCAGTCATAGAAAGGGAAAAATGAGGAAAGTCTCCGGTTTGAGAACTGGCACTTTGCAATCATAGAGGATGCGATTTCCAAAGAACAACACAAAATTGACTTGATATCCTCTGACCCGCTCTCTCTCTTCAGAAATTTCATAACAGTCAGATATTTTTCCCTCTGTAAGGCATGAAAGTTGCATAACAGTTAATATTTAATGGGTTCAGTTATGCATTTAGCACTGTATTAAGTGCTTCAATTGGTTATTTCATCAGAACAACCTTAGACTCAGCAAAATGAAGCAACTAGCTAGTAACTGGCAAAGCCAAGATTACAGCCCAAGTCTGACATCAAGACCCATGTTCTTCCAATCACAGCACACAATGGTCAGAACTGGAATTTTGGCATCATAGGTTCTGAGTGTTAACACACAGCACTGCAATCTTCCATCTCACTCAGCAAGTACAGTCAACTCTCATCAATTCAAATTCCATGAGCTCAGAATTTATGGTAACTCAGAAGAAGGAAACGATGAAAGATTACCTTTGAAGAGGGTTACTGAACAAATGTGTTAGCATAAATGAGATTACATGGAGAGATTGAAGTATTCATGACAGTAAACTGTTTAGACCTCGCGGTTGTCGTTAAGTGCCATCAAGTCGGTTCCGACTCATAGCGACCATGTATAGAATTTCCAAGGAGCAGCTGGTGGGTTTGAACTGCCAACCTTGTGGTTCACAGTCCAGTGCTGATCCTACAGCACCACATCAGGAGTCCTTGGCACCTTATTAATATAACAATAACTGTAACTAATTAACATTAGTCTTATTGGCTCCTTAAAACATCTTAGCTGGTTAGAAACACTTATTAGCTGTTAGTTGAAGTACCTTAATACTATTGGATAAAACTACATGCCTCAAAATAAAACTTTTCACTAATTTTGATAGGCCTTCATAACAAGAAATCTGAATTAGTGAGGCACAACTGTCTTCAAAATCTGTAAATTTATAAGTGTTCCAGGGACTAAGGGCATGCTTACTACTTCCTGTAAGTATTCATCAGTCAGGATGTGACGAAATACTCAACAATCCCCGGGCAGGAAAATGGACTACTTACGGAATGAGCACTGCATGAAGATGAGGTTTTGGATAATGAACTGCATGAGGCAGGTCCTCGGGTCAGTCTGCAAAGCTGCTCCAACCATTCCTGGAATTCCTGACTATTGTTGCAATGGACCACAAGTCTCTCTGTTAGGTTACCTACATCACCCAGTTATGAGCATTGGAAAACAAAAGGTAAAGAGGCTTTGAGCTTGCCTCAGAAACATACTTCATGCAAATAAAATGTGGGCATCTGTTTTCAGTGGTTTCTGTCTCTATGGGGTATTATTGTTGGTTGCCATTGAGTTGGCTACAACTCATGGAAACCTTATATATAACTGAACAAAACAATGCCTAGTCCTACTCCATCCTTGCTATTGTTGATATGTGTTATCAATAAGGTTTTCACTGGCTAATTTTCAGAAGTTGGTCATCAAGTCCTTCCTAGTCTGTCTTAGCTGAAACCTGTCCACCCTGGGTGACCCTGCTGGTAGTTCAAATACATATAGCTTTCAGCATCAATGCAATACATAGTCATTACAGTATGACACACTGGCAAGCAGGTGGTGGACCTATGGGACAATCCTATTTAAAATATATATATATATATCAGGAACACATAAGCTATGAATAATAAAAAAAATCATTACTATTTCATTTTTTAAACTCTCCTTGATTTCCACTGCTCACAGAATTTTAGAATTTTAGAAGTAGTATAATATAGTCCACCTAGTTCAGTCTGAAATGAGAATATTATACTGGTTCCTACAATGTCAAAGTTAGAGTAAGATCAAACTAAGAAACTAAGATGGGTTCCAATCACTGGGCAAATACTGTCTCTTAGGATTTCTACTGGGAAAGAAGGGAGGAAGACCTGGGACTGTTATGCCAGTCCCAGCCACTGTGACATATTACACGTAAATCACACAGGCCTGACAAAAGGGATAATATGCCCAAATGCTAGGGAGCATCAAAAACAGTTGGCGTTCTGCTCAATTTATGAAGAAAGTGGCTTCCCAGCACTCTTGAAAAACACTAAATCTTGCTAATTCCTAGGCTGATGATGAAACTGCTGATAAAAGTCCACATCTTTGGCTCCTTTACCCCCAGGGAATAGAGGCCAGGAGAGAGAAAATTACATTTACATCAGTCCATTTTGTTATTTCTTAGCTCAAATAAGTAGCTCTTATGCAAGAGAAGATTGGAACTAATGACCAAGCTGAGGCTTTTGAATGACCAGAAGACTTATCTGTATACTAATTACCCCAGGAAATGGAAAATACTTTGCCGTGCCCACGTAAAACGTGCACATGGACTATATGATAGAAAATGACACCACTTATTTATATAATTCCCACTTCGTTCCAAAAAGGATTTGAAGAAGCTACATGAAAAAGAGAAAATTACTTACCTGTGATTTCAAATGTGTAGTCATTCCCTTCAATTTCATCTAGTCTTGTCACCACCATTCCTGCTATTGATATTTTTCCCTGGCAAAAAAAAGAGAATTACCACTAATTCTGTGGTTATGCAGGTCCCTGCTTATTCCTATTAGATTTTCTGACCGTCTCAGGAATCATTGCTAAATTATGGCTGGAGATATTTCCTTGGTCTGTTAATGGATAATGCTTCCTTGCTCTAAATTTTAATCAAATTGAACTTTTGTTAAGGGTGATAGAAAAGTTGGAAACAGAAAATAGTGGTGGATGCACAGCATGAAGAATACAATTAATGTCACTAATTTGCACAGGTAAGGGATAATGAACTAGCAAGTGTTTTGTTACAAACATATTTACCAAAAAACAGGAAAGGAAAAATTAGGTGTGTGTTTTACTAATGTACCCTATACCATTCCAAACACATTGATTGCCACGAGAATCAGTAAACAAACGAAAAATGTCAGGTGGGAGTTCTGGTGTGGTGCTATAGGGTCAGCCCTGGACTGCTAACCACAAGGTCAATGGTTGAAATCCACTAGCCACTCCTTGGAAACCCTATACAGGGTCGCTATGAGTTGGAACCTACTTGAGGGCACTTAACAACAAAAAACAAGGTGGAAGAAAAGACCGGATGATCTGCACCCATAAAGATTACTGCCTATGAAACCCTATGGGGTCATTCTACTCTGTTTCACACGGTCATATGAGTCAACATCTATTCCATGGCACCTAGTAAGCAACAACAGGCCAAGATATAATAGACAACATGTAAACATGAAACCTGTTGCTGTTGATTGTGACTCATAGCAACCCTATAGGACAAAGTAGAACTGTCTCATAGGGTTTCTAAGTCTTTACTGGAAAAGATTGTCAGGTCTCTTCTTCTGCAGAGCCTACAGTGAACTGTAGGCCTTTCAGTTAGCAGCCAAGTACTTAACCACTGCACCACCAGAGTTCCCTTATTTCCAATTACACATTCATAATTTCGTTCGTTACCATAGCAGCGGACAATCAGGATAAACTCATTACAGCATATACTATAAAAAGGTCTTTGATCTAAGGAACATGAACGCTTATAAAGCTGTTTGATTTCAATGAAGAGTGAAAACATTCTGCCTTTTTTGACTGGAACTTTTAATACCAGGGTGGCAAGAGTACATTTGGACGGAAACCTGTTTTCATCTTGGGACCTGCTATTGGTTTTATATGAAATACACTAACCTGATAAATAAAGCCACTCATCCGAGGACTTGCAGACAGCATTATCAAGACATTTGAAAAGAGCATGAGGTACCGCTCTTCTTTTTCCTGAAGTGGAATGAAAAAGATTATAAAGAGAACAGAAATTGGAATCTTTTTTGTTGTTGCTGTTAAGAACTCCTGGAATCACTGTGTGCTAAATAATCAACTGAAGCACGAATGGTGATTTTTCTTAAAAAGCTAGCCTACTTAAAAGGATAAAACTACTTTGATTTTACTTTGAAATGCAGTTTCTCTCTCTATCTTGCACATAAGAGTTACATACAAGTCATGCTTGCTCCCCTTCCCTGCCCTCAGTTAATGTAGTCCTGTTTCAGCTGAAGTCAGTGAGATGTCGTAGTCTTAAACACAAAGTAAGCTCTAGGTTCACACAGCAAAAATCGCATTTTATGTGAAAAGGAACAAAATGAAGGGGGTTTCGGGTGATAGGAAATTTATTAGACAACATATAAATATAGATAATATAGACAATTATGCTTATTTAGTGAAAACAGGATAATTATTGTAACCATGTATAGGGTCTCCAAGGCTGTAAACCTTTATAAATGCAGAAAACCTTATCTTTCTCCTGCCAAGTGGCTGGTAGATTTGAACTACTAGCTTTGCAGTTAGCAGCCCAACTTGTAACCCACTATGTTACCAAGGTTCCTTGCAATTGTTGTTGCTGTTGTTAAGTGCCATCAAGTCGGTTCTGACTCATAGCGACCCTGTATAGGGTTTTTTGAGGAGCAGCTGGTGAGTTCTAACTGCCGATCTTGGAGTTCAAACTGACCTTGCAGTCCAGTGCTCACCCTACAGCACCACACCAGGACTTACATCTAATTTTCCCTACCAGCAATCTTCGATACAATGATCCGGATGCTTATCTCCATCTCCTTCTCCTCATTTGTGAAGAGCAACCTATCCTGTTTCACTATTAACTTTTTTTGTCTCTTTTGCCTTGAACACCTGCACATCTCCTATTCTAATTAGCCTTCTCTTGACCCTGTAGCTCTGTAGACACATTCCCCTATTTCTTGATATTTTATTGCCAAATTACCTGCTGCCTTTATTTTTGCCCCATTCATTTCCTCCATTACACCACCCTGCTGCTCTCTCAAGGTCATCACCAACTGCCTTCTAGCAAAACCCAATGGTTTCTTCTTGGTTCTCATGGTCTTTGACCCCTGAACCTTCTACAGTACTACTGTATGCTACTGCATGCTGACCACCCTCGATTGCTCCTTACAGAATTCCCATAACCCCATATTTCCCTGGTTCTTCTCTACACATCTTTTTTGTCTTTTCTTTTCTTTTCTTTTTTTCTGGCACTGATTCCTGCTCCTCTCATCCAAGAGGTCTATTCCAGAAGGGTGGATAACTAAAACTTCCACTTACTACATGAACCTTCCCTAGGTTTCTGCATTTTAAATGAGAGTGTCTACTAATCCAAAGTTAAATTCTGATACAGAGATGTCAGGGAGCACGGAAAGATGTTTTGGGAGAAGGAACACCATTCTTTGTTGTTCATGTTGTTAGGTGCCATCAAGTCAAGAGAAGGAAAACACTGCCTGGTCCTGTGCCATCCTCACCATTGATGTTACACCTCAGCCCATTGCTGCTGCCACTGTGCCGATCCATCTGCTTGGGGGTCTACCTCTTTTTTCTCCGACCCTCTTTTTTCTTCAATTTTTCATTCCTGGCATAGTATACCATGAGAATTGTCAGATTTTAAATGGCCAATGCCAGTCCATTTCATCTCATTAAGCCTAGGATATCAATATTTATGCAATGCATTTCATTTTTGACAATTTCCAATTTTCCTAGATTCGTACTTCATATGTTCCATGTTCCATTTATTAATGGATGTTTACAGCTGTTTCTCTTAGTTTTGAATTGTACCCCATCAGCAGATGAAGGTCCCGAGAGCTTTACTCCCTCAGGCTTTACTCCATTAGCATCATCATGGTCAACTCTACTTTGAGGAGGCAGCTCTTCCCCAGTCGCATTTTGAGTGCCTTCCAACCTGAGGGGCTCATCTTCCAGCACTATATCTGACAATATTCTGGTGCTCTTCATCATGTTCCAATATTCAATATTCTGGTGCTGACAGTGTTCCAATACTATGCATATTTTTCAATGACTAAAAATTCAGAAGTAGTCCATCTTTCCTTCTTCCTGTCTGTCTTCGTCTAGAAGTTCAACTGAAAACTGTCTACTGTGAATGACCCTGCTGGTATTTAAAATACCAGGGGCATAGCTTCCAGAATCACAGTAACACACAAGCCACCGCAGTACGACAAACTGACAGACGAGTGGTGGAAGACCATTCTAGCACCTGATAAATCATACCAAGTGATGCGAGCAACCTTCTTCCCCCTCCTCTGACCTCATCTTAAAAGAAATAATCTATCTTCAGCCCCCTGTGCTTCTCTCTGGCTACTTGCTCCCTCAGATGGAAAATTTGTAAGCAACATTCAAAGCTCTAACTCTAATCCTGACTTTTCACCACATTTCCATACGACTTTAACAATTGCCCACAAAACACCTCTACCTGGATATGTACAGGCACTTGAAAGTTAACAGGTCTAAAAATCTAGCTCATGGGTCACCACTTCCTGTTGACTTTCTATTCTAAATGTGTCTCGGACTTGCCCCTTAGACTTCACTTCCTCTGCCACTACTTCCCATCCCAGCTGGCCTTTCTGTCTCTAGTTGTATCCCCTCCAATCTACCTGACATATACAGTTGTCAGATCAAGTGTCATAAATACTCCTTTGATCCTGTTTATTTGCAGCTCAGGAACCTTTAATCATTTCTGATCCCCTGCTGCATGAATCTGAATTGCTCTTGCCTGGTGTCCACGGTTCTCCACATCTGACTCTCCCTGACTCAACCAGACTTTTCTTCAGTGTCCAAAAGGCTTCCTCTGTTCCCAACAGGCTGCTTCCTTCACTGTCCTGCAGAACAGCCATATTACTGCTCTCTCCTGAGGTAAAAATGGCTGGCATCTTCCTTACAGAATCCTCCCCTCTTCTCTTCTGTAAGTCCTGTTTCCATAAAATCTTCTTCTTGATTGCTTCCTTCTCTGAATTTCCATGGAATCTGTTGTTGAGACTGCACAACCTGGCATCAACTAGTTTTTTTTAACAACAAGCTTTTAACAAGTTCTTGGAAGGCAGGAATTGTTGCTTGTTCTTTACTCCTGTCTTCCCAAACACCTAGCAGAGTATTGGGCAAAGGGCACGTGTTCAGTTTCTGATTTGAATGTTCTAGAAAAATATGGACGATGGAAGAGTGAAGAGATCATAGTATGATTTGAAACACCATACCTCACATGTTCCATACTGCACCATTACTTGTGACATAAAAATCACATTTCCCAAGGTTTTAATGTCCTCCCCTTCCCATGCTTGAATAGGTTCAGAGAGTATTTGCAACTCCAGCTGTTTCCTCTTCCTCAGATCTTGACACTGTCCCTGCAGAAACAAAGCAGAGTATAATGGAATGGAATGCTTATGAAGCAGACCTAAGACAAGACCAAAGGAAGATGTGGCTTTTGGCTCTGAGATTCCCACTGAGCCCCTACTCTCCACCTTGAATCCCTTGGCCAGTCCCATTGCTGACACCCCAAATGACCAGTGGGTCTAAATCTCTAACCTGGAGTCACAAATGGTTTTGGGGAAGAGCTACTTTTTATTGTTCTAAAGTCTCAAGACAAAATTGTATGAGGGGCTTATTTCACCCTTCCTGTAAGGAATATAGAAAGGTAAGTAACAGAATCACTTCCACTGGAGTCAAGAGAGTGACTGATAGATTCAGATCTGCTGGTAGATACCAGCTCCAGCTCCTCTACACATTGTCTATCTCTGAGTACATAGTACTTTAGCCACAACACAGTTTTCTTTTTCTGAAGTATACTCAATATCCAGCCAAGCAGCATTTTGAGAATGAAAAACAAAACAAAAAAAAGATCTAGAACTTATGGTAAAAGAAAAACTTAAATCCTTTATGACACAGTGAATCAAATCAATCTTAAAATGTAATTGAATTTCATGACAAAATGAAAATAAAATTAAGAAGCCATTCATTTATACTGTGCCAACACTATGTGGGGTCTTAATACTTGTATACACATATATATTCAGTCATTACTTCAGAAAGTGTGAGGTTTTCCTCAAGTACTTTAATAGCATTCCTTCCAAATTGGACATGAAAATCATCATATGGTGAGTTATGCTGCTATTTCTACAGGAATATGATAGTTTTAAGGGCAGTGTCCTTTCTATAAAACTTCTGCTGTCTCTTTCAGTTCGATGGAGATGAGAAGAAATAAACTCCATGTATACTTATTTTCGAAGTACTCACAATGGTAACAAATATGCTACAACTGTTGAAGCATGTAAAAATGCAAATGATCAGAAAGACATTGAGTTTAAAAAGTTTAATATTCAATTTAATTAGGAAAAAAAAAGGGATGCAAATGATAAGAAATCCCACGGGTTTCAGAGGGCTATACTCTTGGGCTGAACCACATAAGACTACAAACAATCAAGATTTTGACTTAAACAGCGGCCATTTTAACCTAATGCCTTACTCTAGTCTTCAATTTGCCATTTCACATTAGTTACTGATCTTTTAGTAGGAGTTAAAACAAGGTGAATGTCAACATTGCATCAGTAAGGATCAACAATTAAACACTGATCCACCACTAAGAATGCTAGACTTAACTTATCACTGAAATATAAAGCTTTCTTTCCTTCTAAAATGGCACCAAGTGGTTTTACATCAGTAGGTTTAAGAAGACTAACAATCATGTTCAAAATACAAAAGTACAGAGAGGTACCTTTAAATAACCTTCTATATAAAGCAATTGCATGTTAGCCTTTTTTTTTTTTTTTTTTTTTTTGCCTTTCAGATTTTATTGCTTCTTTTTCATATGCAAAACACCAGCTCACACCTTCTGGCATAAATAGCTGAATCCAATATTGAAGCCAATCAGTGAAGGAGGAGTTGCACAGATATAAGGTGAGCAACATCAGGGTGAAGACAAAGAGACAAGAGGAAACCCCCCACCTACACAGCAATGCGTAATGTGGCAGACTTCAAGTGCAATTGCTTTATACCCTGGGCCTGCCAACCTTTCATAGATAAGCATAATGTTTGGAAGACAAAATTCAGTGAAACAATCACTGCAATACTGTCACTAAAGCTAGTTGTTTCCATTCTGAAGACCTTTACATGAAGAAAGAAATGTGACACACAAAACACACGCTTATGAACAAAGCATGCAACACGGAGAATTCTCTTTTGAAAGCGTCACCTACCATGAGCGTTTTGAATGCTATGATTGCTTTCAGAATATCCTGATGATCTGGATGAGTATCCTATTAAAGGGATATATTTAAAAACAATATTAGAGAAGAAAGGATCAATGGTTGCCAGGGGTTAAGGTAACTGAAAAGGGATAGCCAGAGGGAGTTTCAGGGGGAATGGTGGAATTGTTCTGTATCTTGACTGTGCTGGTTACAACTCTTGTTGTTGTTGTTGTTAAGTGCCGTTGAGTCGATTCCAACCCATAGCGACCCTGTATAGGGTTTCCAAGGAGCAGCTGGTGAGCTTGAACCACCAACCTTGCAGTTCAAACGGCTTTGCAGTCTGGCGCATTAACCCACAGCGCCACACCAGGACTCCAACTCTAAACCCCCCGAAAGTCAATTTTAGAGTACAATAATGTAAAAATTAAAAAACAAAAAAGCATCTGAACATTGGGACCCTCAATACCTCTAATTAGTAGATGATTAGAAATAAAACAGTTGATAACATATCATATTGATAACATACTCAGTGTAGTTATTGAGTTATTGAGGCAAGAGGTCCTGTTTCCCCTTTTGCTGTTATACTTTAGATTGTTTCTTGTTGCTAAGTGCCGTCGAGTTGGTTCCAACTCATAGCAACCCTGTATAGGGCTTCTAAGGAGCGACTGGTGGGTTTGAATTGACGGCCTTGAGGTTCAAACCGACCTTGCAGTCCAGTGCTTATCCTACAGTGCCACAACAGGACTCCTACACTTCAGATGTTCGATACTAATTCTTGGGGGAGAGGGCATCATTAGGTTATGTTGTTAGTAGCTAACAAGTGGTAGAGAGTTGTGCAAACAAAATGGTGGTTTGAGCAAAATCAATCTAATCTTATTTTCTGCAATGCCTCCATTTCCTTTCAGCAGATTCACCATGGAAGATGGTGTAAAGTTTCCAGGTTTCATGCCATGTGTGTCTTATGAAACAAGACTGTTTTACATGGGTCACAATTCCATGTTCATTGTTGTTAGCTGTCACTGAATCAGCCACAAATTCATGGCGACCCCATGCACAATGGAACAAAGCACTACTTGGTCACGTGCCATTCTCATGATAGGTTGGCAATCAGAGTGTTGTGATCATAGGGTTTTCATTGGCTGATTTATTTATTTATTTTTTTTTGGAAATAGATCACCAGGTTTTTCTCCTAGTCCATCTTAGTTTGGAAGTTCAGCTGAAATCTGTTCAGCACCATAGCAATACCCAAATCTCCACTGTCAGACGTGTGTTGGTTACAAAAGAGGTGCATTAGCCAGGAACTAAATCTGGGTCTCCTTCATGGAAGGCAAGAATTCTACCAGTCCACCACCAATGCTTCACCCATGCTATTTAACACCCTGAAGTGACAGCTTCAAAAATGTTGCTAGGTGCTGTGGAGTCAGTTCTGAATCATAGTGACCCTATGCACAACAGAATGGAACACTGCCTTGTCCTGTGTCAGCCTCACAATTTCTGTTACGTTTGAGCCCATTATTGCTCAATCCATCTCATTGGGGGTTTTCCACTTTTCCAAGCATGATGTCCTTCTCCAGGGACTCTGGACCCTCCAAACAACATGTCCAAAGTATGTGAGGTGAAGTCTCTCCACCCTCACATCTAAGGAGGATTCTGGTTATATTTCTTCTAAGACAGATTTGTTTGTTCTTCAGTATTCTTCTCTAGCACCATAATTCACATCTCCACAACTGGCTATGAAGGGAAAGTAAAGACTCTTTGGAGTAGATGTATTCCTAACCTTTGGATTTTTGTGGTGCTGTAGGATCAGCACTGGACTTTGAACCACAAGATCAGCAGTTCAAACCCACCAGCTGCTCCTCGGAAACACTATACATGGTCGCTATGAGTCACGGCACTTAACAACGATGGGAAGATAAACTCTGCTGTTCCATCAGCCTTGGGTGATAAAATCCATAACTGATCAGATGAGGGGTCTGACCCAAGAATAATGTTATTTATGAAGAATACAATTGTACTCTTTGATAGAAAAACAGCTCCTTCTCAAAGTCAGCTGATAATTGAGAATTTCATGTTCTAGTCATTGTCAGCCTTACAAAATAATCAGAAAGTTGAGATAGCTATGTCTCACCCAGAGAGTAACCAGTACCAAGGGTGTGCGTTAACTAACAGTGGGAAAGGGAAGACATCCAAGATATGTGGCCAACAGCAACTCAAGGAAGGCAGAGAAATGGGTTCCCATACAAGGAAGGCCAGGATTGAAGATCCAGGCTATGAGAATATCTGGGCTCTTCAGTAGCGAGCAATACCAGAAAATGGAGGCCACTAGTTTCTGGATTTGTGTAAGAAGTGAAGAGGAGCAAACCTCCAATAGTTCAGTGGATGGGTTGAGCTTCAGGAAGGGCATCCAGAGGCCAGCCCCTTGGTGGGCCTTAACTGACATCTCCTCCCAGCAGGCCTCACTCATTAGTTGCCTGCTGCCTCCAGCTTTCAGGCAGGCCCAGACACCTGAGAATGTGGTTTCGCGTGGAGTGCATGCTTTCCATCCTTACCAATACTGACGAGCCCAGCAGTGTGCAACCTTTCTCTTTAAGATAATCAAACCTCTTAAAACCTCAAAACCTTGCCCCAGACACAGGAAGAGCAACTAGGGTAAATGAAGCCTACCCAAGCGGCCCTCCTCTCCCCCACCCACACCTCAATCCCCAGTGTATGATCGTGCAAGAATGGCTCAAGGAGCTATACCTGCTGATTCGTTCTTTAAAAAAAGAAAATTCTGGTTCTTGATGAGAAAATATTCAATTATCAAGCCTCACTGCAAATCGTACTACTTAAAGGATTATAGCACTAAGACGACTGTTGCATGTAAACTAATTTCATAGACAAAAATGTGAGGCGATTTTGAGATAGATGTGTTGACACTTAGAGAAATAAACTCATATTGGATTCATTTATTAATTTTTAAGAAAATATATGAATCGTATAATCCAGAGTTAGAAAGATGAATGATCACAGTCTTAGCTAGAGTGAAAGTATTCTTTATATTTTCTTTTGTTTTGCTTGTTTTATGTACCCAGTAAAGTTAGTTAAGATACAACAGAATAGAATCAGAAAAGAATGCACGATCTATTATGACCAAACTACCTTCTGCAGAAGAAAACCTAAGTCAACAAGTTAGAACAGGGAAGCAACAGGACTGAGGCAGGGATTCTGAATCTTTCAAAGTAAAGAATGGAGATCTTATTACGCTGCATAAACAAGAAAACCAGAAACCTGGGAAGAGGCAAGACTGGGTAAAGTAAATTTTAAGATCTAGATATTTTCTGAATTCTTCATCAAGGATAACAAGGAACATAGGAACATACATTTCAAAGGTTCGCCTTCACTTACCTCCATATGCCGTTCGAGTTCTTGCAAGAGAGTAACATACTTTTCTAGTCGCATAAACGGTTTGCTGAGGCTTGTTGTTAAAATCAGGAGACCTGGGCTGGGGGCACCTTGAGTTTCCATAAATTGTTCCAGTTCATCACTTGGAAAAGAATAAAAATAGCTTTGTCACTGCTTAATATTCCATGTAATGAATCATCAACCTAACATTAGTTCGCTGTATCTCACATAATAATAAAATAAAATAAAATTTTCTTTCACTTGTCTAAATGCTGTTTGTTTCAACTCAATTCAATAAACCTTTACTCAGCTCCTTCCCTACAGCCAACATTGTGCCCAGGACTGGAAATACAGGGCTGAGCTCCACGCTCATGATTCCTACCCTCTTTGACTCTCACAATGTTATTTATTGAGCATCTACTAAGTGCCAGGCTCTATTCTACATGCTTAGGATGAAGCAATGAACAAAACAAAAATGTCTGCCTTTAAAGGGCCTGCATCCATGGGGAACAGAGCCTAACAGATGACCTCAACATGAAAATTAAGACATTTCTTTTCTTAGTCACTTTATTCTTGATATTGGCTGATCAATGCCAAGGGTAGCAACTCAACAAGTATTCTGTTATCACTTGGAATTCTGTATTCACTTGGAATGTTCTAGAATCAAGTTCTGAATTCAGATATCAGCATGTTTGTATGGTTAATCACAAAAGGACTTAGCCTAGAATCTGAATTCAGTATAGGAGGCCACTCAAACAGTTTCATCCAGCAACCACTTGGCTAATTAAAAAAAAAAAAATTTTTTATTAATACCTTATGAACTGGTGTGGCACTGTAGGATAAGCACTGGACTGCAAACTACAAGGTTGGCAGTTTAAATCCACCAAGCACTCCTCGGAAACCCTATACAGGGCCTCTATGAGTCCAAACTGACTTGATGTCTAAATCTAAGTTTATGCTTTTTCTGCCGTCTTGACCAACTCCTTTCTACCAACAGTTACGTTAAGTCCTCTGGTTGTAAAATCATTTAAAAAAACATGTAAGCAACAATATAATTAGAAAAGGAAATCTACTGCCTAAGTGGCAGCACATTTTGAAACGTCTGCTTATCACCTGACTCCTTCATCTCCATGCTTGTCCATGAGTACCCACCCATTCAGTCACAAGTCTTCTTGCAGCAGTTTATGGCTTTCCATTCCCACTGCTACTGACTAAGTTCACACCTTCATTTTATTCCATCTGGTCTACTTCAATAGTCCAAATGATCTAACTTCCAGGCGACTCTACTTTTAAACCGTTTTACAAACCACCATTTTAACCCACTTGCTTTCCTACTCAAGACCCTCTAATTGCCTACAGGATCAAGTCTAAAACTTTTTAGACTCCTAATGGCCCCACTTGGAGTCCTGATGTGGCGCTGTGGGTTAATGTGACAGACTGCAAAGCCATTTGAACTGCAAGTTCAGCAGTTCAAGCTCACCAGCTGCTCCTCGGAAACCCTATACAGGGTCACTATGGGTCGGAATCGACTTGACAGAACTCAACAACAACAATGGTCCCACCAGGACTCCTGGTGTAGCACTGGGTGTTAATACACTGGACTGAAAAGCCGGTTTAAATTGCAAGGTTGGCAGTTCAAGCTCACCAACCACTCCTATACAGGGTTGCTATGGGTCAGAAATGACTTGACAGCCCTTAACAACAACAATGGCCCCACCAATCTTTCTCACCATACCTCAACAGATACCCTCTACTGCAAAGTTACCTGCTCATCCTCCCTAGAACACATTTATGTAGTGGTTCCCAACTGGGGTGTGTTGAAAGAGGTTGTGAAATGTGTCCAAAGAAACTTGCGCTCAGTAATAATTAAAGTACTATAGGGGCTGGGAATGACGTGGATTGCAGGTTCTCCCTATGAATAATAGACACTTTCCTTCCTTGGTCTTTTGTGAGTAGGAAAAAAAGGGATGCAGTTTCAGCTAATGTGCCAGCAGCTTTGAATTAAGTAGTGTCACCTGTGTATGGCAGGAAACGACAGCTGGGATCATTGCCTTATTGAAAGCTAGATCTTATCGGAATGGTCAGCTCTCAGTCAATACTGACCATTTTGTCAGTTTTTGCAATCTTGCTCCAGAAGCGACCAAGAGGAGGGGAATGACTAAGTTACCTGAGCCTCAACAGACTCATCTGTAAAATAGACACAAATCCTACTTCCAAGTATAATTATTAAGGTTAAAAATCAGACTTTTTAAATCTACTGTTTCATGCCTTTACATGTTTTCATTCTTGTTTAATATTCACAATAATGTTTCAACATAGGTTTCTTCATACTTTACAGATGAAGAACCTAAGACTCAGGAAGAGTATCAAGTTTGTAGATGGCTAAGTTGGGGTTCATATCAGGTTTGATGCCAAAGCCTCAAGTTTTCCCATGGCACCACACCACCTTTCTACTGGAAAAGACTTTGTAAACTTCAAAGTAATGACTAGATGCATTTTTTATTTACTAATATTTCAAGGCAAATACCTTGCTAACATCATATCTTTAAAAACTACTAGTCCCTGTGATTTCCAGTTTAATGGAAATTCATTTGATGCTTCATTTCCAATCCAGGTAAAATTACATATAAAACATAATTAGGAAAATAACTGATTTGGAGAGTGCATTTAAGTAGAAATATAATTTAGAAAAAATCACTTTCCTAATTTCTTTTAAACTTGGTAAACAGGTTTTTATTTTTCTTGCCATGATTAAATGATGCAATGTTCTACTCTAATTGATGTAGCCTTCTCTTCTAATTGATACAAGGGTTACAACAATTAAAAGCAAATGCTAATGTGTATTTTGTTATTACTTTCCATACAGCATTCTAGTATCCAGGCTTCTAAATATTACAATACAAATTAATTTTTTCTATATAGTGTGATATTACTGCCTTACAAACTCAGGTTATTGAGAAGGAAAGAAAAATTTACTAGTGCAAAAAAAGAGAACTCTTTTATAAAACTGCTGTCCATTATGATAAGCAGATCCTAAAAGATACATTTTACTTACCCAAATAAATTTAACACACAAATTTACGACAGAACAATCCTTCTCTTAAAAATGCAGTTTTAAATTTTATACAGGCTGAAATGTCAATGAGTTGAGGCTTGTTTTTCAAGCTTAACAAGTCTATAATGTGCTTCAATAGTAGTGATTCTCAATGTATGAATGTTAGACATTTAACATCTCACAGAGTGTGTGGTGTTCTGGTACATTCTGGGTTAGGCGGGACGCTAAAGAACATTATTGTCCATTATAACAGCACTATGGGAGTCCTGGTATGGCACTGCGGGTTAATGCGCTGGACTACAAGATCGGTTTGAACCACAAAGTCAGCAGTTCAAGCTCACTAGCTGCTCCTTGGAAGCCCTATGCAGGGTTGCTGAGTCAGCACTGACTCAATGGCACTTAACAACATCAATAGATCTTAATTAACCATCTTGTAAAACAGAGTTTCTATGGAGTCTGTGTAGATTTCTAATTTGCGCGATCATATCTCTTCCTAGAGCAGTCCTTGCAAAGGGATCAAAGATTATCCCTTCTCATACACCGTCTACCCATGTGTAGAAAGAGAAGGTAAAGCATGGGCTGCTGGGCAGGTGGGGCCTTGGACCGGTGGAAAATCCCAGGAATGCCACTCACACTGGGTTGGAGGGGTCACTCTTAGCCTTTTTCTTTCTGTCCAGCCTCAGGGATGAAGCTGTCTGCTTCTTTTGTTTTTTTGTCCCTACCACTTTTTGTTTATGATCAGCCTCACTTGTTCCTTGCCCTAGTTCCTCAAAGATAGAAACAGAACACAACCTGGTCTCCAAAATTTTCCCATGTGCCTTGTCCCCAATGCAAGGACCTAACTCCTTGAGGTTTTGCCGAAATCTTCATTACTGGCCACAGTGGTAAACAGAGAGTGAATAAAACTAACAAGAGCAAAACTATCCAGTGGTAGTAACTGCAATAGAGATGGAAGTAAGATCCAAATCTGTCTTGGTGTCTCTTCCCTCATCCTTGGTCTACTCTCTTTCAACCACAGGTCCCTATGCTTCATGAAAAGAATGGATACAACACTGAAGTACAGGAGAAAGGTGGGCAATTTTGTAATGGGGAGATTATTCCCTTAAAGAAAGAGAAGCAACAAACAGTAGCAACTCAGAAGGGGAACAAAAGGAGAAAATCACAAAAGATACATTCAGGAGATAAGAATAGTTTCTATGAGTCTTTGGGGCCATCTTTCAAATATATGTAAATATGACGGGGACACCAATGTTGGGACCTGCTTATATATCCAAAGTCAAGTAACATGTTGCTATTACTGTTAGGTGCCATTGAGTTGGCACAGACTCATAGCGACCCTATGCACAACAAAACTCAACACTGCCCAGTCCTGTACCATCCTCACAATTGTTGTTACACTTGAGCCCATTTCTACTACCACAATGCCAATCCATTTTGTTGGTGGTTTTCCTCTTTTTCACTGACCCTCCTCATTACCAACAATGATGTCTTCTCCAGAGACTGGTCCCTCTTGATAATAGGCCTGAAGTCTGAGAGACGAAGTCTCACCATCCTTAATTCTAAAGAGCATTTTGGCTGTACCTCTTCCAATACAGATTTTGTTCTTCTGGCAGTCCACGGTACTTTCAATATTCTTCTCTAGCACCATAACTCAAATGCGCTGATTCCTCTGCGTTCGGCCTTATTCATTGTCCAACTCTCACAAATGAGGTGACAGAACAAACCATGGCTTGGGTCAAGCACACCTTAGTCCTGAAAGTGACATCTTTGGGTTTTAGCACTTATTAAGAGGTCTTCTTGACTGTTGTTTTTATGAACATTGATTGTTTAGGTTACAATTTTATCATAATATTACTTATTGGTCCAGTTTTGAGGATTTTTGTTTTCGTTATATTGCAGTATAGTCCATACTATACTGCATCATCACATGCCTCAAATCTTCTTAGTTTTCAGCAAGCAAGGTTGTTACCTAAATATCACAGATTGTTAATCCTAATGCCAATTCTTCATCAGATAGTCCAGCTTCTCTGATTATCTGCTCAGCACACAGGTTGAATAAGTATGGTGAAAGAATATAGCCCTGGTGC